GGCTTGCGGTGCGACGTCTTGCCGCCCTTGCTGCGCTTCGCCGCGGAGCTCTTGGGAGTGGCCATGGCTCGGTTTGCTGTAGGTTTGTTTGGGTGCTTGTGTCGCTGAGGTGCTCTGCGGAGACAACCAAAAAGTGCGAGAAAAAGAAAAAACAGAGAGAGGGGGGAGAGGCGATGGCGAGCCAGCGCGGCCCACACTGCGGCGGCAGCAGCAGCAGCGGCAGCGGCGCGCAGCCGCGGGAGAGCACGGGGCACGGCCCCCGCACCACAACCAGATTCATATCTATGCCTCGCACGCGGTCCGTCAGGGGACCACGCGCGGCAGCGCGAACGGCCCAAGTGGCGGCAGCCCGCGGCGACAAAACGGAAGCGGGGCGGAAAAGCCCCACCTCCAAAGAAACAAAAAGAAGAGAAGAGGTGTGTCTAGGCGCCTGGGGAGACGAAAAAAAAAAAAGAAAGGAACATGTACGCCCGGCGCGGGGTCTAGCTAGACGCATGCGAAACCGCCTTGGTGCCCTCCGCCATCGCGTGCTTCGCGAGGTCAGCCGGCAGCACAAGGCGCACCGCCGTCTGCAGCTCGCGCGCGCCCAGCGTGCGCTTCTTGTTGACGCGCACAACCGTGGCGGCCTCGGACGCGATGCGCTCAAAAAGGTCGCTCACGAACGAGTTCATGAGCTTCATCGTCCGGCTCGACATCGACATCTGGCTGTTGATCGCCTTGAGCGAGCGGTTGACGTAAACGTTCCACGTCCGCTTCGGCTTGCGGTGCGACGTCTTGCCGCCCTTGCTGCGCTTCGCCGCGGAGCTCTTGGGAGTGGCCATGGCTCGGTTTGCTGTAGGTTTGTTTGGGTGCTTGTGTCGCTGAGGTGCTCTGCGGAGACAACCAAAAAGTGCGAGAAAAAGAAAAAAACAGAGAGAGGGGGGAGAGGCGATGGCGAGCCCGCGCGGCCCACACTGCGGCGGCAGCAGCAGCAGCGGCAGCAGCAGCAGCAGCGGCAGCAGCAGCAGCAGCAGCAGCGGCAGCGGCAGCAGCAGCAGCGGCAGCAGCAGCAGCAGCGGCAGCAGCAGCAGCGGCAGCAGCAGCAGCGGCAGCAGCAGCAGCGGCAGCGGCGCGCAGCCGCGGGAGAGCACGGGGCACGGCCCCCGCACCACAACCAGATTCATATCTATGCCTCGCACGCGGTCCGTCAGGGGACCACGCGCGGCAGCGCGAACGGCCCAAGTGGCGGCAGCCCGCGGCGACAAACGGAGC